CCAATAAGATGCACAAAAAACCCCAATAGCACTGATGAATGCTGCAGTTTCTGAAACCACATAAAAATGAAAACAATGTTCAAACTTAGTTTCTGGCACATCTAATAATTATTTAATAGAATTGTTTTTATAAAGCAATGCGGTTCAGCCTGTAACTAAGCTGACATCATGCTCCTTTTTTATTCAAAATATGTCAGAATATTTAAACCCTGACATTGAATATTGTATGGATAAGTGAAGCAAAAGAACATAAATGAATTATCTGTGTTTGCATACAAAGGTATCTAATGATGCATCAAACTCCAAAGTCCCAGCTTCCCAGCCATTTAGTGAAAAAAGACAGACAACCTCTGAGGTCTGTTCAGCCCACACAGGACCTGAGTCATTCTGCAGAAGTGCCTGTCTCTCATGATGGATTACACACAGAGCTCAGCAAAAGCAGGTTTCCAAATCGATGCCCTGAATATGTGCAATACAGATGTGGATTCAGAACTTTTTATCTGAGATTTTACCTTTGTGTCTTTGCTCTTGGATCTGTAGGCATGCAAATATGTAGTGGAAAAATACTTTTAGAAGGCACTTAGGTGGAGGTCAAGTGTCTAAGCAGAAAGATATGTGATCAGAGCCAAATGTTTGTGGTTTAAATTACCATCTTTCTGCTCAGATGTTTTAATTCCCAACCAGTTGTAACTTTGCAAGTGGCTAAAATTCTGTAAATGTTTTCCCTGGATAACTTGACTTGGTCTTCCAAGGTTTAGAGACCTAATGGCAGTTTTTAAGGATAAACTGAGCTCAGGACCATATCCCATAGATTGTATGTATAATTTCAAATGCAGATTTGTAACTCCTTCCTGTCCCTAGTGATATATCCTCAATGGTACATCTCAGACACTTGTCTGCTAAAGGCTTAGTTACACCATGTTTCCAGAGCTGATATCAATATGCAGTCACATTCTTCTTGCTGTTTCCAGGTGGGGAAGTATTAGCCTGTGACATCATTTTCTTGCCCCTAGTGTGTAATCCTGTGCTTGTATTTCCAGTTTCAGTCCACTTTTACTACTTCAGTCCCTCAGGTTGTCAGTCCAGCTATATTTGTATGATCTTTCATCTTCACCTCTCTAGTGAGGATTTACAGGTTTCTTATTGCCAAATGTTGTTTGTATTATCTGAATTTCTTTATCACTATCAGTGAAACACACAGAGTTCCAAAACCATCATTTGAAACATAGCCAGACGTCTTCTATTCCAGTAATGTGCTTTTTTGTCCTACTGTTGTTTCCTTCCTTTAAACTGTGTTGTGATTCTTTGGCATTTCTAGATCATTTTGTCCAGAATATTTTTTGCTTTCATGGACAGCATTGTGACCAACACATATGATCCCTATCACATGGATTTGCTATGTTCCTTTTCTTACAATATTCATTATCACAAAAAAGATATGCCAGGTTATTTTGGCATAATGATAGTCTATTGGGGTAAAGCTGTTATTCATTATATTCCATTTTCATTACTTCAGTGTCTATAGCTATGCAATACTTCATAGTTTATTTCAAATCCTGGCACAGCTCATGAGGTAACAGGCATTTTTTTTTTTTTTAATGTTGTCTGGATCATGTACACTCCTTTTGCTTAAAAGAAATAAAAGCTAGGTTTTATTTTTCAGACAGTTGATTGCCAGCCTGATTAATTAATAGTCTTTATTGCTGAACTGCCCTTTCATGTACAAGTATTTTAAGTACTCTCAAATGGAGGTAATGGGGTCTTGCCCTCTTGGTCCCGGCACTTCCTTTAAAATAGTTTTATGTCTTTATTTTCTTCTTATCTTAGATGAGTAATTTTCATTTCCAGAGACCATGTCATTAGTCACACTGCATTTGCTCCTGGCAGTCAACATCCCCGTATTAGTTTTGTTTTGGACTGCCTGTAAATTGTCTTTAATCTTCACTGGTTTTTGCTGCTTGGTGAAGCCACTCTTTTTCCTGTTTTCTTTTTATTTGGATGATGAAAGTACATTTCAGTACTTGAAATTTTGCGAGATCTGACCCTGCCTAACATTTTCTGTTCTCACTTTCTTCATATATTTTCTGACATCTGACAGTTTTCCTAGCATATTAATTTTATATTCCACCCTAAAAGCTTTCTGCACAGTCCAGATATACTTTCTGAGATGACTGCTCATCTAGTTAGAAATTGAGCCCTTTGTTATAAAATGTTTCTCCCAATGTGTGAAGCTGCAAATTTTTCACAGTCCTCAGACAGTCTTTTTCTTAAAGGAATTACTGCATTTTCTTGAGTCTTCCTTATTTCCTTGTTTTCTGTGGTGTTTTTTTTTTTTGTTGTTGTTGTTGTTGATGTTTTGTTGTTGATGATTTTTAATGAAGTTCTGATTTATTTGTGTTTAGCATTTATTTGTGTTACAGTTATTTTTTTAAAAAAAAATTGAATGAATGTGTCATCACTTTGAGATACAGCATTCTTGACCAACTATTTAGTGAGGTCTTATACTTCACTTTTCTCATATTCTGTGTCACATCCTCAAATACCTGGGTCTACCCTTTATTGCTAAAATTTATTTTATGGGAAGTTGCAATCTCACCTCATAGTTTTCATAGTGATAGTTACTCCTTATTTACTTATTTCCTTATTTACTTATTTACTTTCTAAATAATGGAGAAATTTATACACAATGAATGGGATCCTACAAAAACCTTTCTAAAAGAAAAGTTTTTTTTTATCTTACCAAGTAATGAACTTCTGTGATTTCTCTAATATTCTTACAATTTATCACATACTTGGCTTATACTTCATCACATCATTATCTTTGTCATGAGGAAGGCAATAATATTGTTACATGTGGGTGTGGGAAATAAGCAAGAAGGGGATTCCTGTGTCAAACTGATTTGCAGATCAATTGCATCATCCATGTGACAGGGAAGATGCAGCAAGGTATGCAAGATATTGCAGGCAACTATGGCCTTCTACACTTCAATATAGACCTTTCTCCCAAATTTTTGGACAAAATATTACCATTGCTTTAAAATTTAAAAAAAAATCCAAATGGAAAAATTAATATATTTTAAGGGATGGTAAAGGTGAAATTCATGTGTGCAATCTTGCAAATTAGTTAGATTCCTGAGAGTTTCTTTCACTGCATGCAAATGATCTTCCATTACTTCTCAAAGTTTTATTAATTTTGGGGTTTTTGGTGTTTTCTTGTTAAATAACTCCTCTGTATAACCTCTTTCATGAAAATATTTTAATAATTTTCTTTCAACAGACTGTGTTGCATTTTAAGTGAAATTACTTATTTCCTTCATGCATCATGTGTTAGATTAGTACATCTCTAACTGAGAGAGGTTAGTGCTGCTGGACCATTGGTAATAATTGATATGGAGTGGTTTCTGCCTTACTCTGTCATTTAGACATGGGAATGGGAAAATTAGTCCTACTTTTATTAGAATATCTTTTCTTCACCAGCAGACATCAAAGTGGTAAATCACAAGAGTGCCTAACATAGAGAATGCAAAGTCATAGTGACATGCAATCCTTCAAAGGAGGGAAAATGGTTATGTTTTTTTCTTTACTTTTCTTGTAAGCTACCTAGAATTTAGCAGCACTTTCTGGAATGGGTTTATGCTGTTGTCTGTCAGTGAAGCAGAGTAGTCACTAGAGTAGGTTTTTATTCTGTATTTTATGTACTTTTTTTTCCTTGTACTTTACAAATGGAGAGTTATTCAGCAATTTTGAAGGTGGCAACTCGTGTTTTAAAACATGAATTAGCATGTTCTCTTATGTTTTTGGTTTATGTTTTTTGCAGCTATTGAGCTGTATCTTGTCTTAGGACGATATTGGAAGGCAAGCAAAGTTTTCTTGAGCAACAAAAGAGACAACCTTTTCTAATTAAAATTGTCATTTACAATAGTTATTTAAACTCCTTCTTACTGGCAGCAGACTGGGCTCGTGTTTTTCAGGCAGTTGACTCTAACCACAGGAACAGATGCATTTAAAATAGACTCTAATTAGATTCTGATTTTAAGATGCAGTGATAGGAAAGGAATATTCTGTAAATCGGATATATGTTCAAAAGATACTTATTTTAAAATGTAATTCTCTGTTTTAAAAGAGATGCAATTGTTTTCACATTTACTACTTAAAATTGTATAGGAATGCTAAAGAATGAAGTACTAAAAATTTGCTCCTGGAAGTTAGTGTGAAAAATTATGCTTAATATGCAACATAAATAGTGAAAATTGTCCAGCCTCTCACCCACCAGCCCCCCCAAGTCCTCCTGGGCAGGGCTGCTCTCAATCCGTTCATCCCCCAGCCTGCATTGATACTGGGGGTTGCCCCAGCCCAGGTGCAGAACCTTGCTGCAGGTCTTGTTAATCCACATGAGATTCCAAGGGACCTTCTTCTCGGGCCTGTCCATGTCCCCCTGGAGGGCATCACGTCCTTCAGGTGTGTCTGCTGCACCACTCAGCTTGGTGACATCTCCAAATTTGCCGAGGGTGCACTTGATCCCTTTGTCTCTGTCATTAAGAAATGACACTTGTTGCAGTACAGGTCCCTGAGGGACTCCTCCTGTCAGCGGTGTCCTCCAGGCCTCTCGGTGTGACCACCCAACCAAGTCCTTGTGCACCTAACAGTCCGCATCAAATCCATCTCTCTCCACTTCAGGGAAGGATGTTGTGGGCAACTGTGTCAAGTGCTTTACAGAAATTCAGATAAATGACATCTGTAGCTCTTCCCTTGCTCACTGATGTAGTCACTCCATCATAGAATGGCACAAGTCAGTTGAGCAGGCCTTGTCCTTGGTGGAGCCATGTGCTGGCTGTCTCCCTGCTATTTTTAATTGCATATGAACTCTGTTAAGTTAATCTGTTAGTCATGTTCATTTAAAAATGGAATTGATGGAATCTATTTTAAAAGCTGGATAAGAAAATACCACTTTCTGAATGAGAAAAGAAGGGTCTTGACACACTCTTTCCTTCCTTTGCTAGGCCATGGAAAGTGTGACTGTGGGAAGTGCAAATGTGATGAAGGCTGGTACGGTGAAGCTTGTCAGTATCCAACTATTTGCAATCTTACACGGAAGAAAAGCAATGAAATGTGCAAGAATTCTCAGGATATCATCTGTTCTGGTGCAGGTAAGATGTCTTTTGTTGCTTTTGAAACCTTAGTGCTCTCCCAGTGTTATCTTGAGAATCACTGTCATTTTTAACTAGTAATTTTGTATAATATGTTTCAAGAGACTGAGAGTAAGTGTAGGTATACTAAAATGTTTAATTTTCCTATAGGCTTATTTCTGTACATGTACACTGATTAGGAACACCTACTTAAGTACTCTGATTTATCCCGAGCTGTTGTGAGTTGAGGAAACTGCCACTGTGTCATTTATTTTCCTCGTCAGAATGTTGTTGTAATGGCATTAACACAGGAGGTAATGTAATTTCTATCAAGTGTTTGTGTTTACAGAGTGCAGAAATGGCATTTGCAAATATTTTTCCTGGACATTTATAAGCTGTGCAACTTTTTGAGACACTTTTGAATTGTACGTGTGATTATTAAAATCAGTTGTAGATGTGTTGAATCATTTAAAGGAGCATTTCCATCTTCACTGTTCTGATTTGGTAACACTCTCTTCTCTAATTGTTTAGTTTTATAACCATCCTAACTTAAATATGTCTTCTCCTTAAAAAAAAAATAAAATCAGAGATAAACCAAATGGCCTTTTAGAAGGTCACCTTCATTGAAGAATGATACCATTTTAAAGGGCTTTTTCTACCAATTAAGTTTTGAGACCAGAAGTTGCCTTCTGGTTTTTCCGTTACATTGACCTCCAAGTGGAAAAATGTTTCAAGAACGCCACTTCTGCTCACTAATGCTGGTCTTTAATTTCTGTTGGAATCCACACATTTTCATGCAGGTAAATTTCTCACAAGTTAGTTGCTGACATGAGCAAAGAATCCCAAGGATTTGTGGGACTTGTTAGAGAGAAGGTAGTACAGGGTAAGAAACCAGTTTAACATAAAACAATTAGTATGCAGCATACTGAGTAAATTATACACTTAATTTGTAACAATGGATGTATGAAACTTGCTATCGAGAGAGACATGAGAGATAGCTAAATGAAAAACTGACTTTGAAAAATAAGTATAGCTCATTGTACTTAGTCAAAGTTCTTAAAAAAGAACTTAATTCTTTTCTTGGTTAGAAATGGTCCTACTCTTCAGAGGAAAATGAACATAACTTAACAGCCACTCCAAGTAGCTAAGTTTGAGGTGTTTGTGGCATCATGAGAAGAATAAATGGTTTTGCTTTTGCTGATGTTAAACAGGACAGGAATTCCAATGAGACAGACTAGGGAGTTTGGCTAACTTTGATGGGCTGTATTTTGTCTTGATGGGATTGCCTTTTGATCTGCTACTAACACTGTTATTGAGGTCTGAGATCTGTTTTGTAATTGCCAATAAAAGATAGGAAGGGATGACATGAGCTGTTACAAACACAGATAATCATTTATTGTAATTTTTTTCAGTAACCAATCAAGATCCACCTCAAATTTCATTTTTCTGACTTTGTTCCTAATCATTTGTCATAATAACTAGAGCATCCTACCTAAACTGAGGTTCTCTATGTGAGCAATTTTCTCTTTCGCCAATGGAAGGAATGAACATTTTTATGATACATTGTTGCTCAGATCTGTTTAGAATCTCTGACCAGTATAGGAATCAATTTTCTGTTTTATCTTCTTTCCTGTTCAGGAATTATTTGTTATCATGACAGTTTTCTCAAAAATTGCATTTGTATTTGTTTACCAAGTAATTGTAGCAAATGACTCTATTTCTGTAGGTTACTTAATGTTGTATTATCAGTTGTAGTATTATTGTTATTACCTGACTATATTAGCTCTTGCATACATTTCTACAATTTACTATTTTAGAATGGCCATGTCAGTCACAGAGCCCAATACTTCTGTTCTTTGGATTAACATGATGTTTATTAAAAGTCATGCTGTGCTTGTAAGAGTAAAATCTGTAAGGGTAAAGATCAACTGGTTTCTGCAATCTTGTGTAATATCAGCATAAAACTTCTATTTTGGAGAATTTTTCTGATGCAAATAACTGTGTTTTCAAAAATACGTATGGATGTCATGTGAGGAGTATGAATGTTGTGAAGTGAATTTAAAAAAAAATCTGTACTTGCGGGCACAGTGATGCCATTGACTTTTGGAACAACTTGTTTGAGACCACAAGGCCACAATAATGTGATATTGCACAAAGTTCCCAGCCTTTCAATTTCAATAAAGGTAGGGACAAAGGTTTTTTTTATATGAGTGGCACAGTAATAATTTTGTTTCTAATGTCATTTTAATGTGTTTGTGATTTTTTTTTTTTTGACTGTGGAACTCATTCATGCAGTTATTTATGATCTCAGGTCAGATAGACCCTCTGAGGGAAAAGAGGGGAATCTTCTTTCCCAGGGAGGAATTAAAGAATTTCTTCCTATTCAGGAGGGCAGGTCACAGAGGGAGGCAGCCACTGAGCTGAGGAGCAACTCTCCTCAAAACACCAGGGAGCAAAAAATGTGTGACATGATGAGCAGTGATAGAGGAGAGATCTCTTTACAAATTCATTTGCATCTTTTGCCGCATTGCCTGAGTGCTCTGGCTTTTCATTATGTCAGAAAGTTTTTTTTGTTGTTATGCTTCCAAGGCTCTTGAATGCTCTGTCTCGGTACAGCTAAGATTAGGCTTTTTATTGATATGGATAATTTCTGTGTCTGTCTTTATTGTGTGGGTGATCTTTAGATTTCAGCCTTCTCAGAAATAAAATATGTGCCATCTCGGATGCACTAATGAAACCCTTTCTATAATCAGCAGTCATTGGGTAATGTCTCTTAAATGTTTACAGGCACATGTCAGTGTGGCAGGTGTCAATGTGCTGACTCAGAAGAAAATGGACTGGTATATGGAAAATTTTGTGAATGTGATGACAGAGAATGCATTGATGATGAAACAGGAGAGATTTGTACAGGTATGTATCTTAATGAGCACAAGAAAAGTGAAGAAGATTAATACAGGCTATTATTTAATTGCATGTTTCTACAAAGTATCTTTACTGAATGTATGACTTAGAATAAAAGTAACTCTATTTGCAAGACTTCACACTGCAAATTGTATGTGCAAATTTCAGATGCAAAACTGAGCTAAGCATAAGGTTAAAGAGTGAATAAATCCTGTGACATTTTCCTCTTTTTGGAAGAACTGCAAAGAGAATTGTACAAGATAATTCACTAGGGTAATTCATAGCTTAGTGTGTCTGTTTTCAGTAGAATATATGAGCAATGTGAATGCTTCATGGTGCGGATAAGAGAGAGCAGAATGGACAACATACGAAAAAAACCAAACCAGAAAATAGATTATTAGGAATTTTGTAAAGGAAGAAAAAATTTAAAATATCGGGAATAAATGTAGGATGATAACTCAGAAGCAGGAAGATAAGAAGAGAATGGAATGAATAATGAATTTCATCTGTGATAGCAAAGGCAAGAAAATAAGATGGAATGAACTCTGCTGATAGATAGAAAAGCAACCAAAATTTAAACTGTTCTTTCATGTCATTTTAAGGCAGGAACCTGGCAGTCAAATATTATGCAATACACACAATTTATGGCATTATAAATGCTGTTGCCTATGTTGAGAAGGAGGCTTGTCCTTGAGCTGGAAGGTGCTACAAACACTGTTCACGCTACACACGTGCAGATTGTGTCCATATGCCCACAAGAGTGCTCCAGTCTGCTCCTAGACTATTGATATCTGGTGGTAGTACTTCCCGTGTGTGTGTCTGAAGAAAGAGAGTACTTCTGTAAAGTCTCATTCTCTATCTTTTCCTTACACAGACAGCAAAATAAATTCTATTTATTTAAGTGCCTTTGAAGGCAAAAATTACTTTTTATTTTAAATCCTGGGATTGAGTAGGAATTTTAAATGAGGATATCCAGAATGGTCCTCTGAAGTTCAGATTCAGGAGCTCTAAGAATTGCAACTACTTAATTTAAAAGCTTTGTGCTGTGAAGCACATGGCACATGTGCCTTAGCAGATGAAAATATTGTGGAGTTGGTTTCACCCAGACTTGAATGATGCAGCCGTCTTTTTTGGGATATGTATGTTTTGTTAAATGAACATCTAAAAGATGAATTTTGAAAAGAATTCTTCTTAATGAACTGGTTTAGCCATGTTCAAAAATCTTCTTGACAGAGGGGAAGAAGAAGGGAAGCCATGTACAACATAGCTGGCATGTAATAAATCAAGATGTCTTTACTGCAACTAGCTGAGGAGTCAAGAACACACAATGTGTTCTTAGACATGCCAAGTATGTGTCCTACCTTGATGTGTAAAGCTGTACTTAAATTTTAACAATTAGTCTTCAAAATTTACCCATAAAGTAAAAAAAAAAAAAAGTTTAAAAATGTAAAAATTACTTTGTCAGTACTGTTTATTGATTAGATTTAATCTATGATTAAAGGAAAACTGGTTCTAAAAATAGAGGGTAAAAGTGTAGTTCAGATATCTTTTGTCTGATTTAATGTATTCATACATGGACTATAAATTGTTTCTAGTCTATCTAGCAGTAAAAGTTTTTGAAAGAAAAGATCAAAACAGTTTAATTGTTAATGCCTTTTAAAAACTTGCCTCCTTCTCACTGTACAAAATTTGTTTTGGCTTAAGGCCATGGAAAGTGTTACTGTGGAAACTGTTACTGTGAGGCTGGTTGGCATGGAGATAAATGTGAATTCCAGTGTGACATCACCCCCTGGGAGATCAAGAAAAGATGCACATCTCCAGATGGCAAAATCTGCAGCAACAGAGGTGTGTCATTTGCATGGACCTTCTAGACATGTTTATATAGCTGGCTTTTATTTCACTTTATGCATTCTCTACAGTAGGACATGGACTGTGTTTGCTGAGAGTTTCTACTTGTTCTCACCTATTTCAGCTCTGGATATACGCTTCCAACTGTGTAGTTACCTGTTTAGGTATGTGTAAGTTTAGGTATAAACTTACACAAATCCACATCCACTTCTTGATTAAGCAAACTCAACTTGTTCCCATTCTTTACTTTTGTAGTAAGACTGAGCAGGATAATTTGTTATTTAGTTCATATTTGTTTTGGTAAGAGATCTACCTTGCAAAAGAAAGTATTACCAGATTTTTGACTTTGAACAGATTGGTGCTGTAAGGTCACAGAACTGTATGTCAATTCACTCTTAAAGAAGACTTAGGACCCACAATGGAATGGGGAAAATGACAACACAAAACATTTAATTTCCACTGCAATTGCAAAAACACCTGTGAAGTGTTCAGTAACAATGCTGTGGAATGTATAGAGATGGAAAGGTAGACTTCACACAGTTTCTCTAACTACATAAGGTTTTATCTGCACACAGTTATGGAATTTGAATTTCACCTTTTACTTCTGTCTAATTTTGCCATTTTAGGGGGGGGAAAAAGAAGAAGAAAAACCCACAAAATAAGGTTGCTTTTCAGTAGCTGGTGTGAACAAGGAGTTAAAAAAATAGGGTGTTCTTTTGGCAATAAACCAGAATAATTATAGTAGTACATAAGCAAGAGTCACATAGATGCCTCTCTTAAAAGCATCTCTACTGGAAAAACCTGCTGTATGGTGAACATCCAATCATCCTGAGAGCATTTAGAAAACTCTCTTCTCGTAATTAGGCTGAAATTGAAAGTTTGGCTGAAATACAGAGATCATGTAGGCTCATTTAGTCTCGGGACTTCATCATAAAATTTTCGTGTAGTTCTGGAAATAATAGATATCAAAGTGTCATCATATCAGATGCTTTCTTTGCACAGAGAAAGTAATTTCTTGGCAAAGAATTTCTCATCAAAGCAAACTTTTAATCAAATTTGAAATTTTAATGTGCGATTATTTCTTTAAACTGGCATTGCAATAGGAGAAGTTGTGTGAATAGCATAGCTAATATTCTGAGTAGCTGCAACCTTCAATACTAAGGTACATTTGTGTGATGCTTCCATGCCTTCAGCCTTTCATGTATTTGTGATTTTATTTTCATAAGAATTGTGTAGTCTTCTGATATTGTGAAGTTGCTTTCCAACAAAGTATTTCCGCTCCATTTGGTCCTGCTTACCCAGTTTTCTGTGCTTATGCATCTTGTGATATAAGTACAGTTCATCTTGTCAGTCTTGAGCCTTCTAAAATTCAAATATTGAGGCTAACCTTGCTGCCCACCTTCCTTCAGTGCTAAGATGGATAAATTGTTCTTATCTTCTCCCATGCACTGTCTAGTCAACCAGTTTAGACCACATGTGAAAATTTGGATTTTTAAACTTTGGTGAGATTCTGTTCTGCATTCTGACATCCAGGACAGCTGATCTAAAATAACTTTGAAGTTGTTTTTGGGAGGATTAATCACTCTCGAGAGGCATTTCCTGTTTTTGTTTGTTTGTTGGTTGGTTGTATGGTTTTTTTCTTCTTCAGTAATGTCACTGAATTGTGAAAGTATAAAAAGATAGGTACAAATTTCTTGAGGGCTGTCTCAGGGTTTTTAGCATTATACAGGGCTGTAGCTCTTCCTGTTCATGTCATGCATGCTGGGTTGTGTAGACCTTCTCCTTTTATTAGAGAATGTACCCATATCTATGTGTACTGTTTAGTCATCCTGTCCTGTTGTCCTCAAATGCATTATATTGTTTAGAGAAACCTAAATACGATGACAAAAGTGTTGGCAGAGTAACAGAAGGTGAAGCCACTCTTCAAGAAAAGAACTGCATGCATCAGTAAGGTCAGGCTGCTTCTACGAGCCTGTTAGCATCTCAAAAAAAGTAGTGAGTGTGTTGCCCTGGAGTATATTTGGTTTTCTGAATAAGGAAATTTTTTTGTTTGTTTGTTTGGTTGGGGGTTTTTGTTCAGATTTTCCTAAATAAGTAGGGGGCATATTCTCTGCATATTGGCAAAATATGCAAATTTGTTTTCTGTTATTCGCATTTCTTCTTATTGTAAGCAGCAGGGTGTGGCTCTGAATATTGACTTGGGAAAGTGGAGAAGTGCCTTTTCATATAGATCTATGCTGCTGTTCTTCTTAGGTAAAGAATGACCTCCTAGACATTTTCAGCTGTGTTAGTTTGGATTCTCTTGTAGTTTAAATGTTTATGCTTTAACAACCATTAATTATCCCCTGTACCCAAGCCCAAGTCATTTAAACAGAATTGATTTTTATTGTCATTACTGACAGGGCAAATTACTGTTGATGTCAAGGATGTACAACTGTTCTGTGAGCTACATTTTTTGTTGACGCCTAGCAAGGCTCAACAGCAAAAAGAATCATGAACAGGAAGACAATTTGTTTGTTTAAAGTATTGCTACTAAATAATCATAGAAGGTTTCAAATCTTGAGCACACGCTCAAGATTATCACTTGCAGCTTTGAAATTGCATTTCTGTGAGAGCTGAAAATTCACAAGTGTAAATTCCTGTAATCAAAGTGCTGTTACTCTGAATTACACAGTTAATCTTCTATCTCTGTCTTTTTTTTTTTTTAATTGTATTTTTTTAAATATATTTTTAGGCACATGTGTATGTGGGGAATGTACATGCCATGATGTGGACCCAACTGGTGACTGGGGAGATATTCATGGAGATACTTGTGAGTGTGATGAAAGAAACTGCAAAGCAGTGTATGATAGATATTCTGATGACTTCTGTTCAGGTAAGGTTTGTGTATAAATGGGACTAAGGTGTAGTTTTATTAAAAAAACCTTCCAACTGGTCTGATCTTCCTCTTCCCTAGTGCTCCAATTCTCATTTTGCTATTTTAAAATATACCAAGCTTCTGGGGCAGGAGGGGGCTTGGAAGGGACTTTTTAAATTAAAGACATAATTCTGTATTTTTTTTTCCATGCCATGTAACAAAATCCTGTAAATGTTAGATTCTGTTAGGAAGAATCTTTTAGATTCTTCTGCTACCCTTCTATTATGTGTAACCTAACATGAACTGGATAATGGTTGAAAATTTAAAATATAGGTGTATCCTTTCTTGGGAAAATTTGAACTTAAAAGTTCTTTATATCAGACTGTGTTTGTTATTTCATTTTATATGACAGGGAGATAGATGATAATCAAGAAGAAAAAATTCAAGGAAGAGTAAATAAATGAGTAAATGAAAAACAGTCCCCTGAGAATACAATCTGACATGAGAACAAGTAGAGCATCAATACTTGAAAAATAAGAATATGCGGCCCAGCTGCACTTCTGTAGCTGTATCCCAGGCTGTACATCTTAGACACATCCATCTTCCTTTTTCTTCTACTTGGACTTGAGAGCATTATATTCAAAACAGTTAATATCCATCCATCCATCCATCCATCCATGGTTTTGCAGTTTAGATGTTCCATGTATTAGCTAACAAAAGCTGAGATTCTCAGAGAGACCTTGCATGCAATTTTGTGTGGATTCTAATAAAGATGCTAATACTGGGCAGGAGAGAAGGACTTTGTTCAATACAAAGCATGCAATTTGTACACACAGGAATTCTGCAAAAGCAAATTAATGTGATTTCAAAGGGACTTTACAGATTGGAGGTTGTCAGCTTCAATGCATCCTGTAGAAATCTGGTCTGGCCTAATTAATAACAAGAAGAATGCAGTCACATCAAGGACAATAATGATGTTGTATATTTTCCTCCTATTCCTAGAGTGAGATATGTCCCACAGAAAGATAATTTGAGTTGTCTGTAATAGAGAAAGAAAACTGAAACCATCATGATGTATAAAATATTCAGCCTTTTCTTTGCCTGTTTAAAAAGTAAAAAGTTTCTAAGCAGTTGGGGGGGTGTGGTTTTTTGTTTGTTTCTTTTGGGTTTTTTTTTTGGTTTGTTTGTTTTTGGGGTTTTTTGTTTGTTTGATTGTTTGCTTTGATTGTTTTTTGTTTGTTTGTTTGTTTTTGTTTTTGTTGGTTTTTTTTTTTTAATAAATTTAGAGGAATTGCTAGCTAATAAAATGGGGGAAAAGAAGCTTTTCCAAAAGCCTTCAGTGACTTAATTTACTAGTTACTGTTCAACCACTTCCAGATATATATTTATTTAAGGGTTTATTCAATGAATAAACTGGAATGATGTAGAGCTGTGTGCAGTCACAAAGTATTGAGAGCAGCAGGAAGATTGACTTGGTTGTCAGTTTTTGAATGTATCACTGTGTTGCTGTCAGGGATTTTAGCACTCAGGGACTGATTAAAATATCAGCATCAACTAAGGAATGCAAAGCTACAAATCAATAGGGTAAATGCATTCTATAGTTAATGGTGAACACAAGAGTTTCAAACCTAATTAAATTAAAGCAAACCTGTGGCATCTACAACTAATGCTGTGAAACTGAAAAAGTCATGCTTGAGCTCCCTTTTCCTGGACATTATTGTCTTTGCATCTGCTGCTGCCCAGGATGGTAATAGTTGTGAGAAAGCAGAGGGTAAGAAAGTACAGTTACAGAGGAGCCTGGGGGAAGATATTGCCATTTGGCATTGGATTAAGGACTGGTACATTGTTCTTTATTACACAGACATAACTGTAAATGAGGAAAACTTAGATATGAAAGGAAGGACTCATATGGCTTCCTTGATGTGACTAAAACTCAAGTTGAAGTATAATTTTGTTTTTCCATCTCCTCATCAAAAATTTTAGTACGAATTATTTTTATCCATTCCCTTTCCATTATGTTTTAGAAAAGCCTAATTGAGTCTTAGCTGGCCATCCAAGTATGCATTCCTAAATTAGATTGTGCAAAAAAATCCATTTGCACATGAAGCAGTGTGAACAATATCTTCTAGTCCTGCTGTTTAGCCTTGTTTCAGAAATAGAAAAGATGCATAAGTTTTAATTTTGGTTTATTGTGGTAGTCAGGCAGAATCTGCAATTAAATCAAAGTTTTAACAGAGGAATTGTAGTGGGACAGGTTTTTTAATTGCTTATATGAAATAAATTTTTATTGCACAAAGTGTACATGCATTAGGTGTATCTGAGAAATATCCTCATTGTTCTCACAATTATTTGTAAATTGATCTGGGATGAATCCAAGAGTGATTAGTTAGATTAGGGAAAATAATCCATCTCTCTTGAAACCTTCATTAAAAAGAGATGATACAAAATTTTCTTGTCTTGTTCTGTCTACCTAATAGGTAGAGACAGGAAGCCGCATTATCCTAAGTAGCATGGAGAAATTATAGGAAATCCTGTTTTCATGTAAAGAGTTTCACTGTGACTGAATGAAATTCTATGTCTATTTATTAAAATACAAATGACAGGAATTGACAGCCCTGATGTGAGGATTTAACATCGCACAAGGGCAGCTTTGTCCAGAAGCTTCATGTGGCTTGAGGTGAATGTTGTTGCACAGTACATCATATTGACAAGTGGATGCCTTCTTTTAACACCTGAAGTACCATTCAGAATGTTCCTGAATTACTGACTTTCAGAAGTCTTCTTAACACTAAAGTGATTATCTTCATTTAAAGAGATAATAGCTCTCATGACTTGACACAGAAAGAAAATGTTTCCATTAAGAAAATCTGTGTGTTCACACATTTCATTAGTCCTTTTGCTGTGGCTTTAGCAAAGAAACTATTGTATGAAAGTGCCTAATCCTCCCATAAGTATCTCTCTGGATCAGGGATCATAAATCCAATTCACAACCTGTCAGCAGGTACACATGAAAGCAAAGGAAAGAATTGTGCGTTCAGAGAACGGTTTGTGTTGGAAGGAACCTTAAAAATCATCTGGTTCCAACCACTGCCATGGGCAGGGACACCTTCCAGTAAACTGGGTTGCTCAAATTCCCATCCAGGCTTCCCTTGAATATTTCCAGGAGTGGGCATCCACAGCTTCTCTAGGCAACTTGTTCCAGAGCATCACCCTCCCCACAGTAAAGAATTTCTTCGTTATAATCTAATCTAAATTCATGCTCTAAACAAGAGGAAGCTTGTAAAGCTTTTCAAGGAAAACAAATAACTACTGTAAAGTTATTTTTTGCAATTAATAAGACTTGTGTTCTGGGAAGTAATCTGATGACTCCTAAAATGATTGCTTCCTCCCATTTTCTCCTTGTGAACTAATAAACAAATATGTTTTATAAATTGGTACTAAAGTGCAAATATGGTTAAAAAGATATATGAAATATCTGTTACTGTGGTTTTCAAGAAGAACATGGATAAAAAAATAGACATTGGAGCAATGCTTTTGTCCTGTGTCCAGTGAATGATGACTGTGTGAAAATTGTGAGAGATCTAACCTCCTGTCTGAGCTCAATAGATATTTGATTATATGGCAAGGAATGTTGTTTTGCTGATTCTCAGGCTTTTCTAAGGAACATTTTACATTGCCAGAATCTCAATGCTTTTTGCAAAGAGCATAAAGAGGGATAAGGACAATCTTTTTTTTTTTTCTTAGTTTTTCTTGAGAAAAGCTCAAGGAAAATTGCATATGTTTGCTTTTATATAGAGGAAATATATGTGCAGGGAATAGTTCCAGACATGCTGTAAGATACCAAAAACCACATCAAATTGTCTTACTGGAATGAGAATGTCCAATATTTTATTATTTGTATATCACTGCTTAATAGAAGACACTGGTTTGAGGCCTGAAATTGTTTGTCTCTAGTAGATCATGTTGATTGCAAGTAGATAAAGAATGGTATTGATATATTTCTTAGAGAATATGCTGCAACCGTGGTAGAAAAAGATCATAAAAATAAATTAAATATTGCCTTATGACATTCCACTTTTCCAAACAGTGGTGAAATGTGTATTTTTAATCTCTGTTCCACCCTTTTGCATTAGATCATGTGCTAAGTGTCTGAACATCCCTTAAGGAAAAAAACCAGAAAAGGGAATATGGCTCAAATTGAATGTAGAACGGTACTATTTTCAGAAACAAAAGTAGATATAGTAGATTGGTTTTATTTTTTTTTGCCAGTCTCATTACTGAATAAAGCCCCAGCTTTGATAAAGTTCATCCAATTAGGAGTTTTTATACCTCATTAGAATGGAGGTTAATCTTGAATTGTATTCATTATAAAGGTCATGGACAGTGTAATTGTGGAAGATGTGACTGTAAAGAAGGATGGACTGGGAAGAAGTGTGAACATCCACATTCATGTCCAATATCAGTTGAAGAAAGTGCTAAGAAATGCCAAGGAAATTCCAATTTACCTTGCTCTGGAAGAGGTAAGCATATTTCTGGAAGAATTTTCATGCCCTGTAAAAGTACTTCCATTAAAAGAATTTTTATGGATGCCCAGCATTACTAGTACTGAAAAATGTGTACCTTCTTGGCTTACTGTGCACGAATCACACCTGTATAACTTGTGATTTAGGAGGAGGGAGGAGAAGAATACAGAGGTCACCTATTTTTCCTGCTTTGCGTTTTATTTTGCATGTCTTAACATTTATTTTGGAGATTTTCAAGGGTGCTTTGAAAATTGCTGTAGTTAAGTCTTTATTAAGGATATATTAAAAATAGGGATTCAGTCTGCACATTTTTTGACAAAAGCAGCATGAGATTTTCAGCTTGTGTAAAATGTGGTGACACCATTGTGGTAAGGACTGTTTGGATTTACTCTTACTAAGAAACTGCCCATTAGGTGCAGGACTGACTTCTATGAAATGCAGCTTTGCTTCAGCACAGTTTGCTGGTTGGCCATTGGCTTTTCATTTGAAAGCATTTCTTTGTGACACTGTAGCCTTTTCAAGAGCTTTGACTAAAAATATATACTAAGTCATACGCACACTTAAAAGATACATTGCAAGCAATTTTTCTCAGAAGGAAAAGGAACCTGCTAATTTTCACTGTGTGAAATGTGGTTTTCTGCAGAGAGAAGAAAGAAAAGTAAATATGAGACAGAATATTGCTAGAACTGGTAATTGAAGTTGTTATGAATTCTGCCTATTTAAGTATTTTCTGGGAAAGGCCTAAAGCTTCTCCTGAATTACTGCATTTGACCGTTAATGTCAGTTCATTTGTGATTTATTCTTTTACTAATACTATCTAACATAGTCAGAAATTGTAGGCTGTCCACCCAAGTTATCTCTGTGATAATTGTACTATTTTTCTCCTGTAATTGTGTAGCAGCTCATTTACTTCCTAAATGTAGCATTAGGAGTACCTTAAAAGAACTATGTATTAACAGACAGTTGCTTGCTCTTTTCTTAATTAAGCTGCCATTTTCCAGTTAATTGTCTCTCTCTTTTCGTGCTAAAATTTTGCAGCAGAATTTTTTGCTACAAGTTAGTTGGAGAATGGGCATCTGTGGAGAATTAACTGCATTCTGTTTTTTCGTGCTTGCAAGAATGATAACTAAAAGAAAGGAACATTGACTTTTGATTTATTTTTTTACTTATTTAATACTGTATAATTTTTTTCCTGTCCTCATGGATGGTTTTTTTCTCTTCTTTCATCAGCTTTACTAAAAGTTGTGTAACTTGAGATCTTGGAATCAGTTCTATAATTTAATTGCATTGTCCTCCTTGAGGACAGAGGAAGAATAAAAATCGTAAAAACAACTTTAATTTGAATAAATATATAGTATTGAATTTTTAAAATGAAGTATAATAAGAAGAGAAAATGTAAAGATTTTAACATTAATGACAATAATTCTACCCTTTTGGCTTTCTGCAAAAGCCTAATGATGCTGGCAATGTTCTCCTGTTGAGATCCTGGCAGTGAAATAGGTAATTTTCAGGTGAAGTGATTTGACTGAGTGACCTGTTGGTCAAAATTTTCAAAAGCAGTATCTATGGGAACAAAAGGCTTAATTGATAGTGGCTCTCACTGAACTTTGACTTCCAAACAAGGAGAGATCACTAAGGTGTTCAAGGAGTGCAAAAGGCACATATGTAAATTTAGGACATTATGTGATAGACAGCTGCTGTAATGAAGGAACAAGAGATTCTGCATTCTAGGCTTGAAAAAAAATTCCCCATGAAAACTTCCATTTAAAAATGGAAAGCAGTATCTTGTTTTAGTTCTATGAACAATTTTGTTTAAGACATTGGGAAGATATATTGGTCTACTCCTCTGTGTTTTACTAGACAGTGTATTTTTTTTTTACCCTGGACTCCTTGGATTTCCCCTTCTTCCATGATACTTTGGATAAAAAGAAAAGTGTAAGAAAATTTCTGAACTGCTAAAGTAGGGGTTAGTTCCTATGAAAAAAAAATAAAAAATTTGTCATTGGACTTGCATAGTTAAATTTGGTGCCATATGGAAATCCCACTACTTGTCATGGCAAGAAGTGTGACACAAGCAGATGAATCAAAATAAGGTTTTCAAATAAAACACAATCTATTTCAAGTCTTTGGGAGTGGGAAAGGCTGTAGAACTGTAAAAACATCCCAAATTTTTTCTGATGTCCCTAGAAATGATTGTGTGATGAGGAAAGGAAAGTCTGAAAAGGAAAAGGAAATTTTGTCTTTTTCATTTGAAAATGATGGCACAAGGACAGTTATACTTGCCCAGGTCAGTAATCCACTGTACTGCCAAAGAAGTTGAGTACTTAATGTCTTTATTTAATGGGATCTTTTGGTAGGGCAGTTCATGTGTGGAACAGGATACACAACAGAACTCTCAGAGATGCAGGTGCATGATTTTATGATTTCACCTTGTATTGTTTCCTTAAAGAATATTTTCTGTTTATCTGTACCTTTTGTTTTTGATTTAGATACTTTTGTTGTTTATAGCAATGGGAACTAAGAGAATTGGTGCATCCCACCCAGATTTTGAGAATCCCAGATTCCCTTAACTATCAGTCATGTAATCTCAGCAAGAGAAAAAAAGGTATAGAAAAAAAAAAGCAGAGAAAGAAAATGTGTTTTTGTAACCTTTAATGTATCAGGCATATGTAAAATTTATATTAAAAATTATAGAGAATTGAGGAGGTTAGGAGGAACACAATTAGATAATTTAATAAATTATGATTTCTCAGTCTATATTTTGCTCTTCTGAGGGTAGATGAAACAGTGAACTTTGTTTTCAGGCTGTAATTCCGTTCCTGATTTTCCCCGCACTCAAGAATAACAAGCTGTTTCATGGGTGCTGCTCAGCATGTGGGGATATCACAAAGGCTGCCAAAAAAGTATTACACTATGGTCTTATATTTCTTAGCTGCTCCAGGAGGTGGAGGAGAGAGAAGGCTTCTATTGACATGCTGAATAGCAAAGGAAAATGTCTACATGCTGAAATGGTGTTATAAAGACAGAGCAATTATAAATTCTCTGGGTTACATCAATCAGGTTGTCGATACCATCAGTAGTTCCTGCTATATATAAGGTGAGAGAAGATCACAAGAAAATTTTGGGAATAAAAACACTTTAAGTACTTTCTGAAAATTACTTTCCCTATAAAAGTCTTTTGAGGATGAGGAGTGATTCTAGGCATCATCATTCATATAAAGTGAAGAATGCCTTCTATACTCTTATTCCCAAGTGTTGTTTTTTTTTAACTTGCTCCATGACTTTTAGCTTAGATGTAAAACTTTCACTTTTTTCACAGTGAAGATCTGTTACTTTTAAGAACACACTGTACATCAAGACCAGTGTCAGACATAAAGGAAAAGACATACAAAAAATCATTATGGTTTGAAATAAAGAGGTACTATATTGTTGTCAGGATTAAGGGAAAAGACAAACCGCTTTTCTCTTTAAAATGCACATCACTCACTTGAGTTTTCCCTTCAGGTACAAAGTAGATTTTAAAATAGTTTTAATAAAAAAGCCTTTAGGAAGAGAATTGAAAATAAAAAGAGTAGGTTTTGAGAATAATAGATGAGAGGGTTTTTTTAAAAATAATCTTGTTTTCCTCAGTTACCCTTGGTGAATGCAGCCGTTCCATGGCAGATTTACAAAGCCAGATAACCGAAAAATATTCTTATTGGTATTTTAACATTTAAATATATTTTCTAAAATTGCTTTTATTTATTTGCATGGATAAAATGAAACTATTTCTTTATTGGTGAAATTCCTCCTTACACTTATGCTCTGGCATAGGCTAACTGAAAAATGAAGGGATTTTTTTGATTCTTTACTTAAAAAGATTTCTGTTGTTTTTGAAAAAGTCCCAAGCCCCATTTTCAAAATACTAAATCATCACTTCAAAAATTGTGTGTCATTTTGAAAGTTTTGTCATTTTGTCTTTTGAAAGTTTACCGACAGCAATAATTTTGCCCTTTTTTCTCTATTTAAAATTATTAGATTTTGATTAACTTAATGGAAGAGCAACAGTGTTCAATGCATTCTTAAAAATTCCTTGTGGTGAGCTAAGACAGTGAATCAGTCTCTTGTGTTCTGTAATGCTATTGCCAGTCTGGCCAGATACCGTCTCCTGAAGTCTGAAAGCAAAGGTCAGTGATGACTCCAAAGAGCAGAACCATTGGCCAGTGCTTGCTGCAAAGACTTAATCCTTTTCTGGAGCATCTTGCATGTCGTTTTGTATGATACACAGTTTATGCTGCTCTGAAACATCTCATTGCATGCAAATTGTTGTATCAACTGAAGTAGATTCCAGTTGGTACAAAATGGAGAACATACACAGAAGGAAAGAGAAACACACATGAGATAATTGTATCTGTAGTGACGAGAGTGGATGGAACGTCAATAAAAATAATGTGCTAAATAGCTGCCTAACCAGGTGTAACTACGTAACTCTCTTCTGACCTTTGTGAAGTCTTACATGACTCATCGAAAATATGACATAAAATATTCAGCTTGTAAATAATTTTGGTTTGGATCATTAAGTACTATAGGTTCATATAAACATTTGAATGACATCATTCAATATATGTTCAAGATTTTTAAATCTATGCAAACTGTAATGTGGTAACCCTGATCTTTTCATCTCTACAACAGGTAAGTCCCTTTAGCTGGGTATGATGCCTTAAAATGGTAGAAAGGCTGCTGGTGGCATGTGTCACATCATGACAACTAGTTCTGCTCTATTACCACTGGAACCTCATTGAGTATAGTTCTATAATGTTACAGTTCTGGTTCTTTTGTTCCAAGTGCAGTTATTAGTTGAGGACTTTGGAGTCTCCCTCTAGTATGACATTGTCAAAACTGATAAACAAAATAAATTTCCTGTTTCTATTAGACACTTACAGAAGAACATTGCTTCTGAAGCCTATGGCTTGTTGACTTAGTAAGGAGAGATGATAGTAGAGGTTTCTATTTGAATA